GCGTGACTCAACTGCCTCTGTCCCTCTGGGCATGCTTCACTGCCAAGTGCATCTGTGGACACGGGCCACCCTCCTGGGCTTCCAAAGCTGGTGAAAATTGCCAGGCTTGGGTCTGTCCGTCAGAGCAGCTGCTGCCCTCTGGGCACAGGGACAAGAAAACACTGTGGGCCTGGAGCCCTGGTCTGGACCTGGGGCATCGGACAGGGCCCTTGCACTTCTCTGAGCCTGTTTCCCCACGTGACAAGTGTGCTGATTGTATCTGCCTGTGGACACTGAGGGCTCAGTGTGTTTGGGAGCTAGCATGGGGGTTCGGGCTATAACTCCCCTTCTGCCCCATGGATGGAGGGAACCAGGGACTTTGTTGGGATTACCCTAGGTTTCGGTCTATCTTCCTACCCCAGCTTGGGCTCAGCATCTGAAGTAGTCTAGGGAGCAGGTGGTCCTGGTGGGGGTAGGGGCTTTTCCCCAGACTGAGGTCACACCTAGAGCCAGAAACCTCAGTGCCTGCTCTGGGCTAAGGATGCTTCTGGCCCCAGGATGCAGGTAACTGCCCACTTTACCTGCTTTCTGCCTGCCACGGCCTATCTTCAGACCTCAGGACTTCCCAACCTATCCCACCTCCCTCTCTGGCCAGCTTTGAATCCTCCTGGATCCAGTACTTTTCCCAGACCATCTTCTGGTTGTCCTCCTGCTCTGTGGCCTGGCTCATGCTGGTCCCCTACACACTCACCAAGACCCTCCAGGACCACTGCACACCCAGCTCAGCTCCATCCTGTGTAGTCCTTTCTCTTTCCTCAGGTGACCAGGTGCGGGTCTTGGTGCTCAGGACGTTCCCTGTCCCTGGGAATGCCTACTGGCTAGAGACCAAGGCATTCACTTGGTAAGGCCTGTTGGTTCCTACCAGCTATGTCCCGGGACCACTGGGGACATTGCACTCTGGAAACCTGGCAGAGAGAATGCGAGACCTGGGCTGGGCCCCACTCACCAGCTGCCTGACCTCACGCAAGCTACGTTCTCTCAGCCTCAACTTCCTATATCTCTAAGAGAGGGAAGGAAAGCAATAAACACCACAGGCTACCTAACGCTTTATTACAAACACTAAATCAAAGGGCTTGAATATACTCCCGGCTAGCACATGGTAGGAGCTCAACAAATGTTTTGGAAACTGGTTGTGAGAAGGTTCTAAATTTTGGGAATGGAATGGTAGAAACAGTATGTACTTTGGGGATAGATCCAGGTTCTAGCCCCAGCTGCTTGGCTGGGTGACTGTCTGTTTCCTCCTCACCTACAAAAGGCAGCAAGGCCACGTATCTTCTTTTTTTTTTTTTTTGAGATGGAGTCTGGCTCTGTTACCCAGGATGGAGTACAGTGGCCCGATCTCAGCTCACTGCAGCCTCAACCTCCCAGGCTCAAGTGATTCTCCTGCCTCATCTTCCCAAGTAGCTGGGATTACAGGCCCCTGTCACCATACCCGGCTAATTTTTGTATTTTTAGTAGAGACAGGGTTTCACCAAGTTGGCCAGGCTGGTCTTGAACTCCTGGACTCAAGTGATCCACCTACCTTGGCCTCCCGTGGTGCCTGGGCAAGGCCAAATATCGTTTGTTTTTGTTTTTTTGAGACAAAGTTCCACTCTTTTTGCCCAGGCTGGAGTGCAATGGCGCTATCTCAGCTCACTGCAGCCTTTACCTCCCGGGTTCAAGTGATTCTCCTGCCTCAGCCTCCCGAATAGCTGGGATTACAGGCATGTGCCACCACGCCCAGCTAATTTTGTGTTTTTAGTATAGGTGAAGTTTCTCCATGTTGGTCAGGCTGGTCTCAAACTCCTGACCTCAGATGATCTGCCCACTCGGCCTACCAGAGTGCTGGGATTACAGGCGTGAGCCACGGTACCCGGCAGCCACATATCTTACAATATAGTTGTGATGATCTGTATTTCTCTCCAAAGGTTTTCCACTGTTTGCCAGATAGGCAAGGGCGGGAGCTTGTCCCATTCCCCGTTGTTCTCCCACCTAGAACACTGCCTAGCACATGTCAAGCACCAAGTGTTTTTTTCTTTTTTTGAGGCAGAGTCTCGCTCTTTCGCGCAGGCTGGAGTGAAGTGGCTCAGTTTTGGCTCACTGCAACTTCTGCCTCCTGGGTTCAAGCAATTCTCCTGCCTCAGGCTTCTGAGTAGCTGGGACTACAGGTGTGCGCCACCACATCTGGCTAATTTTTGTATTTTTGGTAGAGAAGGGGTTTCGCCATGTTGGCAGGCTGGTCTCAAACTCCTGACCTCAGGTGATCCACCCGCCTTGGCTTCCCAAAGTGCTGGGATTACAAGCATGTGCCATGGCATCCGGCCCAATATTTCTACCGTGAAAGAAACATGAGGTATAAAGCAAAGGATCTTATCCCAGAAGGCAAAATCAACGAATGCGAGTTTCTTTCCTGCCATCTCCTAAGCCTTCCTCTCCACCTCCCCGACTCTTCAGTAATTCCCAGAGCAGCCAGCAACCATCAGAACTCACCTCTGCGAGGACAACCTCGGCTGAGCTCTCTACTCTGCCCCAGCCCAATCCAGCCAGCTCAGGAACCACTTTGGTGTTTTCTGACTCACTCCAGTGTCTGGAGCCGACTTTATCTGGCTGGCTCTTCAGACATAATTGGGGTTATGGGAAATAATCCTGGCTGGAAACAGGGTGAGGCAGATTGGCTGTCTACATGGCTGTCTGGCAAATGTTTGATGACTGACCTATAAGCCACCTACAGTCAGGCCTTCGGTTCACTGTCTACGTGGCCAGGGAGCGAGTCAACCATGGACCCTTCACCTGCCGCAAGGACCGGTTCTCCTGGCTCCATGGCTCCAGGGATGGAAGACACTGCAGGAGACACAAGCCTTGCTTCCCAGCTGAGGACTGTGAGTCATCTCAGGGTAATTTCACAGCCCCAGCATGCCCTAGCCCTCAGCTCTGCAAATACCAAGCAGCCTGCTTAGGGAACAGTAGGCTCGGGAGTGTCCCCGGCAGGCCCTCACCTATCTGCTCCCACAGCTCTGTAGCAAGAGTTGTAAACTTTTTTGAGTGTGGAGCTTGCTGAGAATGAGAATGAGCTGTGGACCCTTTTCCCAGAAACGCATGTGCGCGCGCTCCACACAAAACCTTGCATAATTTCAGGGACTCATACCACCCTAAGGTTCACTAATTGAACCCCTTGGACCTGAGGTTGAGAAACCTTACCTAGATTCTTCCCCAGGTGATCAGCTCAGGTGAGAGAGGGGAGGCTGGCAAGCAGGACCCATGAGAAGGCCCCCCTCCTGGAGTTTGAGGCCACTCCCTCCTGTCACTGCCTCTCCTCTGTCCTGGACTCCTCCCTGCTCAGCCCCACTCCTGGGGCGATGGCCATGGGGGGGCTGTTTGGGCACAACGGCAACCCTGGGGCCAGAGTGGGCAGGCTCACCTGGAGGGGACGAGAATAACATGGCAGGAAGTGAGGGAAAAGCCACCCCAGGACTGCACCTCTGACCTCCTATGTCACTGGGGTGTACTCCTCCCTTACCTCCCTCAGGCAGCAGCCCGAGTTCCATGGGTGCTCCCCACAGCCCCCTCTGCTGCCTCTCTTCAGGCTTGCAGCCACCACAACACTTTCCTTGCCCAGCCCTGCCAATCTGGTGGGCACTGGGCTTCCATCTCACAGGGTCCTGGGGACAGGCCTATCCTCCATCTCGTACCCGTAGACAGACCCTTTTTTCTTCCATGGCTTGGTTCTATGAGTTCAATGCAGATCTGAGCCATAGCAAGCTGGGTTGGGGAACACACTACTATGAAAACTAGCCAGAGATTCCAACTTGGTAAGAGGGGAGAGTAGGGCAGAGCCAGGCGCGACATGGACTGATCACCTGGAGAAAGTCGCCGTCAGAAGCCTCGGCGCAGGGCAGGGCCTGGCAGTGCCTTCTTCTGGATTCCCCTAAGCAGACCTCTGCCATGAGGGCGTGCTTCCTTCTGCCTATCCATGGCCCACAGCAAGGGACTGGCGCTCCTGCAGCGGCGGGGGTGGTTTCGGTTCTGCTGACAGAACTGAAAACCTCAAGGTGAGTTTTGGAGCTTCACTACGGTATTAGTTTCTGGTTGTTGCTGTAATAAATTACCACACACTTAGAGACTTAAAATAACAAATTTATTCCCTTAGAGTTCTGGAGGCCAGAATTCTAATGTCAGCCTCACTGAGCCAGTCCAGGTGGAAGCAGGGCCGGCGCCTTCCAGGGCTTGGTGGGAGAACGCGTTTCCTGGCTCTGGAGGCGGCCTGCAGTCCATGGCTTGCACTGCCCTACTCAACTCAACTCCAGTTTGCTGCTCTGTCACTACACCTCCCACCGCTCTCCTGTCACTGCTGTGCTCTTATACGGACCTGGGTGAGGACATCAAACCCGCCTGGACCAGCTGGGATAATCTTCCGGGCCAAAGATCCTTAACTTCATTACATCTGCAAAGCCCCTTTGGCCACATAAGGTAAGGTTGACAGGTTTCTGGGATTAGGACATGGGCATCTTGGGGAGTCACCACTGGCCTGCCACAACTAGGCTGCAAAACTATTCCCTCCACCCTCTGGTGTAATAGTTTTGGTGTTTCAATGACCAGGAGGAAAAGGATTGATATTTTTTGCTTTGGGGTCCCTTTTCACCTTGTATTTTTAAGGTTTTAGGACTCGCCAACCCTCCCCTTCCAACCAGAGAAACTCGCCATCGAGGTTGAGAAACCTTGCCTTGATTGCAGTATCTCCTTGAAAGTCTGGTGACAGGCCGGGCGCGGTGGCTCATGCCTATAGTCCTAGCACTTTGAGAGGCTGAAGCGGGTGGATCACTTGAGGTCAGGAGTTCAAAATCAGCCTGGCTAACATGGTGAAACCTCATCTCTACTAAAAATACAAAAAATTATCCAGGTGTGGTGGACACCTATAATCCCAGCTACTTCGGAGGCTGAGACAGGAGAATCACTTGAACCCGAGAGGTGGAAGCTACAGCAAGCTGAGATCGCAATACCACACTCCAGCCTGGGTGACAGAGCGAAACTGTCTCAAAAAAAAAAGAAAAGGAAGTCTGGTGACGTGTCTAAATGCTGGTGAGTGTCACAGGACCAGCTAAGGGGCCTACCCAGTTCCCGTGGCCAGAGGGTGCCTGCCTAAGTCCACACCTGCTGACTGCAACAAGCCTGTAGCTGGGATGGAACAGAGAAGGGTCTGAGGCCTGGAGGGTGCCATGAAGGCCATGGGGCAAGTGAGGTCTGCAGAGCTGAAGTGTAGCTGCAGAGGCTGGTCTGGTGCTGCGGGAACTGGAAGAAGCTGGGAGCTGTGGTCCCTGTCCACAGAGATGCTGGAGACTGGGACTGGAGCAGCTCTGAGGCCATGGAGAGAGCATCTCTGCCCCACTGCATCTGCAGGTGAGGGAAAGGTCCTCACCAGACAAGTGCAGCTCCAAGTCCCGGATGTCAGCCTTTTTCTTGGTACTGAGAGAGCGGTGGGGCAGGGGCAGGGCAGTGGCAGAAAGGCAGGGAGCTGCTCTTGCTACCTCTTCTCCATGCTCTGCATCTGCAGACTGAGGGAGGTGAAGCTGGCCAGGAGGTCAGTCACTTCATCCACCTGCAGGACAGAAGGGAGGCTCTGTTATGGGGGGTGGGAGTGCCAGGGCCCCTGGGTCTCTTCCGCAATACCACAGGCACAGAACACAAGCATGGGATCTCCTCCCGGGGCATGTGGTGGCTTCTGACTATGTAGCAGCTGACCAAGGGTTAGTCCTTGGCACCAGGTGGCCTAGGGCTGTCCTAGAGGGCATGGCCATGAACACACACTAGCCACTGGCAGGTTCAAAGGAAGTGAACGGAGGCTTTGAAGCTGCAACCCCACAATCACAGCCTCTTTCTCCCACTTTTTTGAGACAGAGCCTTGCTCTGTTTTTTTTTTGTTGTTGTTTTTATAATTTTTGTCTTTTTCTACATGTTCTGGGAGGGCCTTGCTCTGTTACTCAGGCTGGAGTTCAGTGGCAATCACAGCTCACGACAGCCTCGAACTCCTGGCCTCCAGTGATCCTCCCATCTCAGACTCCCACAGTGTTGGGATTACAGGCATGAGCCCCTGAGCCTGGCCCCAGCCTACAGCTGCTTTATGATTCGGGTGTCTGGTGGCATCGGAGCAGGGTAGACTGACCCTGGGTCTGGGTCTGGGCCTGTGGCTGCGGCTCACCTGCTCTTTGGTAGTGGTCATCTGGAGGTGGGTACACAGGTCGTCCAGCTGTTCTCGCTGCTCGTGCCGTCCTAGGCGGTTCAGGTACTCCCTCAGCATATGGATGATCTGGAACAAGAGGGTGAGCTGAGCTGCCTGGGCCCCTAAGGAGGCAGACAGGCTGATGCTGCTTCCAAGAAGCACAGTAGAGCAGGTGTCAACTGGGGTCAGTGAGAAATAACCCAGGAGCCCTGGGGCCAGAGGCAGGTGTGTCTGTGGTTAGGGCAGCACCTGTCCAGTGCTGCCTCGGTGCCATGGGCTCCACACAGGAGGAAGACTCACCTGCTTCACCTCCAGCCGCACAGTCTCCAGGCACTGGGCATGGCCCTCCTGCAGGATGTTCAGTTTCGACTTGGCCAGGTGCAGGGATGTGCGGCCAGCTCGATCCAGGGCATCCACACGGGCCCCTGCAAGGTAGCAGCTGAGGTGAGCATTCTGGGGGTGAGGGGAGGGAGAGGACAGAGGGGAAGGAACCACATACCTCCGCGTAGCAGTGTGGTGATGACAGGGACGTGGTTGGTGCAGGCCGCTGAGGAAGAACAGAGACTTAAGAATCCAGGACTGGCCAGGTACGGTGGCTCAAGCCTGTAATCCTAGCATTTTAGGAGGCCGAAGTGGGTGGATCACCTGAGGTCAGGAGTTCAAGAACAGCCTGGCCAACATGGTGAAACCCCATCTTTTTTTTTTTTTTTTTAAATTCAGGACCACCAGAGCCTGGCTCCATGTGTCCACTGGAGGGAGCAGGGCTGTGTCTTCCAGGTGCCTGTGCCAAGTTATGCCTACTGAGAAGGTATCGCCAAGGCAATAGCTGGGTAGGACTTGGCAGTCAAGTTCAACTCCCTCCCTGTACAGCAGAGGAAACTGAGGCCTGGAGATGGGATCTGCGTCACTGTGAGTCACAGTGCTGAGTGCTGCTGAGCTAACCTCAGTTGCTAAATTGGCTCTGCCGAGGTCACAGCCAACTGCTAAATGATTGGAAAACCCATGGGACACATGTTGTCGGGAAGTGCAGCCCTTAGAGTACAGGCTAGGATCTTCCCTGACACTCAGACATACTGCTGGGATGCATGCAGGGCCCCAAGCTCTTCTTCTAAAGAGCCTTTCTGTGCTGCACATAAGTTGTCTTGGTGACTTCTGACATGCTTACCCAGGTGCAGTGGTGTGTTCCCCAGCCCATCTCGCTGGTTGGGATCAGCCCCGTGGTCCAGGAGCAGCTTCACTGGAAACAGGCAAACCCAAGAAGAGCTGTCTGAGGCTTCCATCGCCTGGACCCTGAACCCCTAACCTAGCTAAAGAGGCTGGCTCAGAGTGGGAGACACTGAATGCAAGCATGGATTGCTATGTTACTTTATTCACTGACTCACTCATTCACTTAGGGTTCATGTGCAAGTCCCTGAGGGTCAGGAACTGAGGATTTGGGGAGGGCCTCTTGGCCTATGCATGTGTAGGAATGAGATTTTAAGGGTTAAGTGATATTCTTCTAATAGCAGCTGCTCCAGGGCATATTCTGCTCCTCCCACAGCCAAGCACCATGGTGGGAATGAAGTCAATAAAAGATGCTGAGCTCCATGGATAACCTCTTCCTCTTGGACAGTCTTGGGTTCACCCCAGGGGTGGGCTGTAGTACCATCAGGGTCTGCCAATACCCAGAAGGATGCACAGGGAGGTATCTTGGGTCCCAGACATAGAGGGAGGCCAGGCTGAGCCTTACACCATATACAAAAACTAATTCAGGCCCATGCCTGTAATCCCAGCACTTTGGGACGCCAAGGTGGGTGGATCACCTGAGGTCAGGAGTTCAAGACCAGCCTAGCCAACATGGAGAAATCCTGTCTCTACTAAAAATACAAAAAATGCAGTGCCAAGTCTTCCTTACATCCAGAACAACTGGGCATCCCAAGGCTGTGCAGACAGCAGCTCCTCCCCCAAGGCCTTTGCAGAGACACTACTTTCCCAGCCCCTCTCCCTCCTCCCTCTCCAGGACTCACCAATCTGGTCATTGCCATTGCAGGAGGCAAAGTGTAGAGCTGTGCGGCCCTTGTCATCAGCTGCACAGGGATCTGCGCCATCTTCCAGCAGCTGCTGCACTGACACCACCAAGACGGAGGGAGGGAGGGAGGGAGGGAGGGAGGAGAAAGCAGCAATGTTAGCTAAGCTGCAGACCCAAGGGGTGGAGAGGGAGGCTCAGAGGTGCCTCTAGAGAAGACATCAACAGTGCATAGGAAAGCAGCCCTTCCTGGATGCTGGTCCCATGGGACTGCCCTGATAAGGGACTTATTCTTCTGGGGGCACAACTGAGGGCCATGGATTCTGGGTGCTCAAACTACACGCCTAGTGATAGAACACTGTAGGAGGCTCTTGGCCCTCAGGGTAAGAAATCCTAGGGTCACAGGAATCCCTAGCATAGACTGTGGCCCCCTCCCTTGACCTCAGCTTGGATACACATCCATTCTGGCTGGTAACAGCTGCCCAAGCTATTGGCCTATGCTTTGCTCTTGGCAGGCTGCCCTTTAGGGCAGACAGAGCACAGGTTCTGGAGCCACAGCGACTAAGTCCCAAGCTAAGCTAAGTAAAAAAGGAGGCTGGTGCTGTGCCCTGCCCACCCCCTCCAGGCCCAAGCTGCTAGAGTGCCTCATAGTCACAGATCCGGGCTGAGGGCAACCTACATCCAACCCTACCGCAGAGCACACGTGTACCCCAAGGCCCAGGTGCCACAGTAGGTTCACAAGACCCTGAAACCTGGGCTCTGGCCCCATAGCAGCTTTGAGCACCTATGCGTGGAACCCAGCATGGATGCAGCTGCTTATAGACTATCAGCCCTGATACCAAGAGGGATTCCCCTTGGCTAAGTCTCCCCGTTGTGGGGAAACAAGAATAGAAGACACCAAGGATGTTAACGAACACTTTTACTGCCACAAACTTCTATAGCCTAGACTACTGAGGAGCCCACAGTTATTGCTGAGGTTGAACACAGCTGAGAAGTTACATGGATTCTATAACACTACACCTACCTGGAACAGAGTCACTACGCTCTTCCCAACCATTACACTAAAAACCAACTGCAGATGAAAGTCATTCTCCATGAAAGACATCTTAGAAAGTTTGGAAGAAGGTATCATCCCACCAGATGCATAGACATCAACACAGGGATCCAAGAAACATGAAAAAGGAAGCCAGGCATGGGGGCTAACACCTGGTAATCACAGAGCTTTGGGTGGCTGAGGTGGGCAGATCACCTGAGGTCGGGAGTTCGAGACCAGCTTGGGCAACATGGTGAAACCCTATCTCTACCAAAAATACAAAAATTTAGTGGGCATAGGGGCACGTGCCTGTAATCTCAGCTACTCAGGAAGCTAAGGCAGAAGAATCACCTGAACCAGGAGGCGAAGGTTGCAGTGAGCCAAGATCGTATCATTGCACTCCAGCCAGGGTGACAGAGGGAGACTCTGTCTCAAAAAAAAAGTAAAAGGACACTTCCAACTCTCACCTCAAAATAACTCTCTAGTAACAGACCTCATTAAAAAGGAAATGAACAAATTGCTAGAAAAGGAATTCAAAATAATAATCCTAAGGAAACCCAGTAAGATATAAGAAAATACACATGACAAAATCAGGAAAACAATTCAAGATAAATTCCTGGGCCGGGCGTGGTGGCTCAAGCCTGTAATCCCAGCACTTTGGGAGGCTGAGGCGGGTGGATCACGAGGTCAAGAGATCGAGACCATCCTGGTCAACATGGTGAAACCCCATCTCTACTAAAAAAACAAAAAATTAGCTGGGCATGGTGGTGCGTGCCTGTAATCCCAGCTACTCAGGAGGCTGAGGCAGGAGAATTGCCTGAACCCAGGAGGTGGAGGTTGCGGTGAGCCGAGATCGCGCCATTGCACTCCAACCTGGGTAACATGAGTGAAACTCCGACAAAAAAAAAAAAAAAAAAAATTCCGGCCAGGTGTGGTGGCTCACACACGCAATCCCAGTACTTTGGGAGGCCAAGGTGGGTGGATCACCTGAGGTCAGGAGTTTTAGACCAGCCTGGCCAATATGGTGAAACACTGTCTCTACTAAAAGTACAAAAAATTAGCCAAGCGTGGTGGCAGGCACCTGTAATCCCAGCTGCTCAGGAGGCTGAGGCAGGAAAATCACTTGAATCCAGGAGGCGGAGGTTGGCTGGGCCCGGTGGCTCATGCCTGTAATCCCAGTACTTTGGGAGGCTGAGGTGGGTGGATCACTTGAGGCCAGGAGTTTGAGACCAGGCTGGCCAACATGGTGAAACTCCATCCCTATAAAAAAATACAAAAAATTAGCCAGACATGGTGGTGAGCGCCTGTAATCCCACCTACTTGGGTAGCTGAGGCAAAAGAATTGCTTGAACCTAGGAGGCAGAGGCTGCAGTGAGCCAAGATTGCGCCACTGCTCTAGCCTAGGCAACAAAGTAAGACTGTGTCTCAAAAAAAACAAGCAAAAACCAGAAATCCTATAGCTGAAGAAGTCAATGAATGAAATAAAACATATAATAGCTTCAACAGCAGACTTGATCAAGCAGAAAAATGAACCTCTGAACTTAAAGGTCATTTGAAATTATATAGAGGAAAAAAATAAGAATGAGAAAGGAGTATATTGCCAACACCATAGGACAGTGGAAAGACTGACTTAGGAGTATAAAGGCCTAGATTTGGGTCACAGTTCACTAGCAAATGGGAATATCTGCCCTGCTAATTTCCAGAGCTCCTGTGATGAAAATAATGGGTATGAAATTTCTTCTTTGAAAAGTAGGGATGCACAATAAATGTGAGGCATTATGTACTAATGTACATGTCCAGCTAAAATGGAGAAAATTGCTGCCAAATGCCATTTCAGAGCAGACATTTTAGTCTCTCTCCCCCAGCAAGCCTCTGAAGGACTTGAGTCCTTCCAGTGAAGTCCAGATAGCTTCCTCTCCGGGAATCCAGCTGTCTCCTCAAGCTAAGTGAGCCCCTCCCTCTTCCATACCACTCAGTGCCCTGTTCATCGTGTTCCTTTAGTATTAACATCTTGTGCTATTTTCCAGTATTTGTTACCATACGTTGAGCACCAGCCACACATTAGGTACCTGACTGCTAAGCCCCTCAATGACCCAGCAATGTGTCAAATCCATTTTATAGACCAGGAGAATCAGGGCCAAAGAAATTAAAAAGGACCTAAGCTACATTTGCCCAGATAACAGGAGGCAAAGCTGGAATATAAACCCATGTTTTTCTGGCTCCAAAATTTACATCTCTCCAACTCAACATATAACTTTACATTTTTGTGTTTTTGCTTTATAGTTTGGAAACAGTATCATATTACGTCCTTCCTCTCCAACTATACTGTACTTTTTTGTTTTGAGATGGAGTCTCACTTTGTTGCCCAGGCTGGAGTGCAGTGGCACGATTTCAGCTCAGTGCAGCATCTACCTCCCAGGTTCAAGTGATTCTTCTGCCTCAGCCTCCTGAGTAGCTGTGAATACAGGCACATGCCACCATGCCCGACTGATTTTTGTATTTTTAGTAGAGACAGGTTTTCACCATGTTGGCCACGCTGGTCTGGACCTCCTGACCTCAAGTGATCCTCCTGCCTCACTTAGCCTCCAAAATGCTGGGATTACAGGTGTCAGCCACTGCGTGTGGCCTATACATTTCTTGTTTATCTTTATAACCTTGGTATCAAACATAGTGTCACGCAAGTAATATCTGTTTCACTAATGATGCAGACTGGCTGAATAAATGAATAAAAATGGCAAGAAAAAGTTGATGAGAGTCTGGGCGTGGTGGCTCACACCCGTAACCCCAGCACTTTGGGAGGTCAAGGCAGGTGGATCACCTGAGGTCAGGAATTCAAGACCAGCCTGAGCAACATGGTAAAACCCTATCTCTACTAAAAATACAACATTAGCTGGGTGTAGTGGTGTGTGCCTGTAATCCCAGCAACTGGGGAGGCTGAGGTAGAATAATCACTTGAACCAGGGAGGCAGAGGTTGCAGTGAGCCAAGATCACAACACTGCACTCCAGCCTGGGTGACAGAGCCAGACCCTGTCTCAAAACAAAACAACTGTGGTTATTACCAGGTGCAGTGGTTAACACCTGTAATCCCAGTACTTTGGAAGGCTGAGGTGGGAAGACTGCTTGAGCTCAAGAATTTGAGACCAGCCTGGGCAACATGGTGAGACCCATATAACAAATTTAAAAATTATAAACGAAGCCGGGCATGGTGGCTTACACCTGTAATCCCAGAACTTTGGGAGGCTGAGGTAGGTGGATCACCTGAGGTCAGGAGATCGAGATCATCCTGAACAACATGGTGAAACCCCGTCTCTCCTAAAAATACAAAAATTAGCTGGGTGTGGTGGCGCATGCCTGTAATCCCAGCTACTTGGGAGGCTGAGACAATAGAATTGCCTGAACCTGGGAGGCAGAGGTTGCAGTGAGCCGAGATGGCGCCACTGCCCTCTAGCTTGGGCAATAAGAGCAAAACTCTGTCTCAAAAAAAAAAAAAAAATAAGTAAAATAAAATAAACTTTCTTGTAGTATAAATTGTCCTTGTACCTTTGATACTAATATTGCCCTGTTGACTAGTGAACACTGGAGAAGAACAAAAACCAGAGTGATGTCCTTCTAGGAGCGCCACCCATGCCTTTCAGATGCTCATGTAACTAAACAAACTGAGAACCACCTGACCTGTAACTACCACAGTCTTGCTGAGCAGCTGAAAGTGGTGGCTCCGTAAAGATGATCACCTGGCAGCTAAAGGAGATGAGCTGGCAGACTGCCTTCCCATGTATTGATTATCTGGCCTTTTCCTTCCCCAACCAGCCCATGGGTCTCTGTAGCTGGACCCACTGAGCACACTCACCTGTTTCCACATCGTTGGCATTGGCCGAGTCCCTCAGTCTCTTCAGAGCTGTGAAGAGAGTAACAGATGTCAGTTTAAAAAAATAGCCATAGTCCAGGCATAGTGGCTTACGCCTGTAATCCCTGTACTTTAGGAGGCCAAGACAGGTGGATCACCTGAGGACAGGAGTTCGAGACCAGCCTGGCCAACATGATGAAATCCCGTCTCTACTAAAAATACAACAATTAGCCAGGCATGGTGGCGCATGTCTATAATCCCAGCTACTCAGGAGGCGGAGGCAGGAGAATTGCTTGAGCAAGAGAATCACTTGAACCCGAGAGGTGGAGGTTGCAGTGAGCTGAGACTGCACCACGGCACTCCAGCCTGGGCAATGAGCAAAACTCGGTCTCAAATAAATAAGCAAGCCATCTAGCCGGGTGTGGTGGCATGCATCTATAATCCCAGCCACTTGGGAGACCGAGGTAGGAGAATGGCTTCAGCCTGGGAAGGGGAGGCTGCAGTGAGCTTAGATCACGCCACTGCACTCCAGCCTGGGTGACGGAGCAAGACTCTGTCTAGGGGGGGAAAAAAAAGCCATGATGGCCAGGCATGGTGGCTCACACCTGTAATCCCAGCACTTTGGGATCCTGAGGCAGGTGGATCACTTGAGGCCAGGAGTTTGAGACCAACCCAGCTAACATGGTTAAACTCCAGCTCTACTAAAAATACAAAAATGGCTGGTGTGGTGACTCACGCCTGTAATCCAAGAACTTTGGGAAGCCGACGTGGGTGAATTGCCTGTGCTCTGGAGTTTGAAACCACCCTGGGCAACATGGTGACACCCCATCTATACTAAAAAAATTAGTTGGACATGGTGGTGCATGCCTATAGTCCCAGCTACTCGGGAGGCTCAGGTGGGAGAATAACTTAAGCCCAGGAGGCGGAGGCTGCAGTGAGCCAACACTGTGTCACTGCATTCCAGCCTGAGTGAAACTTTCTCTCAAAAAATTAAAAAAAAAAAAATAGGCCAGTTGTGGTGGCTTACACCTGTAATCCCAACACTTTGGGGGGCCAAGGCAGGCAGATCATGAGGTCAGGAGTTTCAGCCTAGCCTGGCTAATATACTGAAACCTCATCTTTACTAAAAATATAAAAAGTAGCCAGGCATGATGGCACATGCCCATTATCCCAGCTACTCAGGAGGCATGGCAGGAGAATCGCTTGAACCTGGGAGGCAGAGGTTGCAATGAGCCAAGATTGTGCCACTGTATCTAGCCTGGGCAACAGAGTGAGACTGTCTCAAAAAATAATAATAATAAATAAAGATAAATAAATAAAATAAAAATACAAAAATTAGCCAGGTGTGGTGGTGCATGGCTATAATCCCAGCTACTTGGGAGGCTGCGACACAAGAATCACTTGAGCCCAGGAGCTGAAATCACACCATGGCACTCCACCCCGGGCAACAGGGCAAAACTCCATCAAAAGAAAAAAACGAAAGAAAAGAAAAGAAAAGACAGAAAGAAAGGAGGAAGGAGGGAAGCAGGGAGGGAGGGAGGGAGGGAGGGAAGGAAAGAATGGACATTTCTCAATTTAAGGTTAAGTTCTAATTTAAATCAGTCTAACATGGTGAAACCCCATCTCTACTAAAAAAACAAAAACTAGCCAGATATGGTGGTGCACACCTGTAATCCCAGCTACTTGGGAGGCTGAGGCAATGAATGGCTTGAACCCAGGTTGCAGTGAGCGGAGATGGCACCACCTGCACTGCAGCCTGGGTGGTAGAGCAAGACCAAAGGAAAAAAAAAAAAGGCCGGTACACTGGCTCATGCCTGTAATCCCAACCAACACTTTGGGAGGCCAAGGCAGGCAGATTACGAGGTCATGAGTTCAAGACCAGCCTGGCCAACATGGTGAAACCCCTGTCTCTACTAAAAATACAAAAATTAGCTGGGCATGGTGGTGCCTGTCTGTAATCCCAGCTACTCAGGAGGCTGAGGCAGGAGAATCACTTGAACCTGGGAGGTGGAAGTTGCAAGATTGTGCCACTGCATTCCAGCCTGGGTGACAGAGCGAGACAAAAAAAAAAAAAAAAAAAAGTGCCCTGGGAACAAGGACAAACTTGAAATGAGGCACAGCTAGAAACAATCCAGAGATCCAAGATGGCCGACTAGCAGCAGCTCAGGACTGCAGCTCCCAGTGAAGGTGCAGGGAGTGACTGGATGCATGTGACTTCCACATGAAGTTTTGTTGCCTACGGACCAGGAGATTCCCAGTGGAGGAGCCCCACGGGTCACCAGCGCGACTTTTTTGGCCAGCGCAGCTGTTTTGCCGGCGTCCCAGTGCGGTGGTTCTCAGTGCAGAGTATGCGGGACAGGGTGCCCTTTTAGTTGGCGTTTGGAGCTCCAGGAAGGCAGAGTTGCCCATTCAGCTGATTGAAAGGGGGACTGAAGCCACGAGCCAGACCATGAGATTCCCAGGCAGAAAAATGCCATGAATCTCAGTGCCGTGCTGGCGCGGTCACCGCACAGAAAATTGCATAGATCCCAGCACCTTTTTGGAGGGCAACTGGGGCACCTGGGAGAGAATCGACCGTTCAATTAGGAAAAGAAAAAATGGGGGCTCCGAGGCGGGGAGCCAGGTGATCGGACTCAGCTGGTCCCACCCCCACAAAAAAACAGCAATTGGAAATGCTGACGGTTGAGAGTTTCACAGCAAACACAGCTGAACCCAGGAAGGTCCAGCTCTGTGGGGGAGGGGCGTCCGCCGAAGGAAAACAAAGAAACAGAAATAACATCATTACCAAAAAGCTGGATGTCCACTCAGAGACCCAATCTGAAAGTCAGCAATTACAAAGACGACAGGTGGATAAATCCACAAAGATGGGAAGAAACCAGCACAAAAAGGCTGAAAACATCCGAAGTCAGAATGCCTCTCCTTCAGGGGATCACAGCTCCGCATCAGCAAGGGAACAAGGCCTGATGGAGAATGAGTGTGATGGACTGTCATAATCAGGCTTCAGAAGGTGGCTAATAAGAAGCTTCTGTGAGCTAAAACAACATGTTCTAACCCAATGCAAAGAAACTAAGAACGTTGAAAAAAGGTTTGACGAAATGCTAACAAGAACAGACAATTTAGAGAGGAATATAAGTGAATTAATGGAGCTGAAAAACACAATATGAGAACTTTGCAAAGTATGCACATGTTTTAACAGTTGAATTGATCAAGCAGAAGAAAGGATATCAGAGGTCGAAAACCAACTCAATGAAATAAAACGAGAAGACAAGATTAGAGAAAAAAGGGTGAAAAGGAATTAGCAAAGTCTCCAAAAAATATGGGACTATGTGAAAAGACCTAATCTACGTTTGACAGGTGTACCTGAATGTGACGAAGAGAATGAATCCAAGTTGGAAAATATTTTTCAGGATATTATTCAGGAAAACTTTCCCAACCTAACAAGGCAGGACAATATTCAACTCCAGGTAATACAGAGAACACCACAAAGATATTCCTCAAGAAGAGTAACCCCAAGGCACATAATCGTCAGATTCACCAGGGTTGAAATGAAGGAGAAAATGCTAAGGGCAGCCAGAGAGAAAGGTCAGGTTACCCACAAAGGGAAGCCTATCAGACTCACAGCAGATCTCTCAGCAGAAATCCTACAAGCCAGGAGAGTGGGGGCCAATATTCAACATCCTTAAAGAAAAGAACTTTCAACCCAGAATTTCATATCCAGCCAAACTAAGCTTCATAAGTGAAGGAAAAATAAAATCTTTCGTGAACAAGCAAGTACTCAGAGATTTCATCACCACCAGGCCTGCTTTACAAGAGCTTCCAAAAGAAGAACTACACATAGAACAACCAGTATCAGCCATTCCAAAAATACACCAAAAGGTAAAGAGCATCAACATAATGAACAATCTATATCAACTAATGGGCAAAACAGCCAGCTAGCATCAAATGGCAGTATTAAACTCACATATATTACTATTAATCCTAAATTTAAATCGACTAAAAGCCTCAATCAAAAGACACAGACAGGCAAATTGGACAAAAAGCCAAAACCCATCGGTATGCTGCATCCAGACCCATCTCATATGCAAGGATACACAAAGACTCAAAACAAAGGGATGGAGGAAGATTTACCAACCAAATGGAGAGTAAAAAAAAAGCAGTAGTTGCAATCCTAGCATCTGATAAAGTAGACTTTAAAGCAACAAAGATCAAAAGAGACAAAGAAGATCATTACATAAAGGTAAAAGGATCAATGCAACAAGAAGAGCTAACGATCCTAAATATATACGCACCCAGTACAGGAGCACCCAGATACATAAGGCAAGTTTTTAATGACTTATAAAGAGACTTAGACTCCCACACAACAATAGTGGGAGACTTTAACATCACATTGTCAATATTAGACAGATCAACGAGACAGAAAATTAACAAGGATATTCAGGACTTGGACTCAGAACTGGAACAAGTAAACTAAACATTTATAGAACTCTCCACCCCAAATCCACAAAACATAAATTCTTATCAGTACCACATCACACCTACTCTAAAAGTGACTACATAACTGGAAGTAAATCACTCTTCAGTAATTGCATAGCATTTCACAGGTTTAAATGAAATATTGGTTGGCTGCTTGTTATTTTCCTCCCTTATTCCTTCCTGTCTTCATTGTTAAGCACAATTATTGGCATAAAAGAGGTTTTCAATACCCATTTTTAGACTGCATTCTAGCCTGGGCAATAAAGCAAGATTCCTCTTCTGTCTCCCTCTTTCTCTTTCTCTTCCTTTCTCTCTTTCATTCATTCTTTCTCTCTTTTCCCCCCACCAAAAAAAAAAAGAAAAAGAAAAAATGAGGCACAGCTAGTACGAAGGCCACATGCTTCTGCAAATCCTCCAAGACTTTTGGAGCCAGATTTCCTCTCTGTCACTGGTAGTCACAGAGTGACCTTGAGCAAGCAAGTTAACCCCATGGGCCTCAGGTCTATCATCTGCAAAGCAAGACTGACTTGTTCTGCCAGCCCCAAGTTATTGCAAATGATTTACAAGGAAGCTCTTTC